TCTATATTTAATATTCAACGGAGTGGCGTATTAAGGGAAGATCCCAGTCATGTTGCTTTCGTGATGTGGGGATTGGAGCGGAGAAGGAATTCTCTTTCCAGATTGCTAGGGCGTGGAGAAAGTGGGGGTCTGTGCGATTATTGTTAAGTGATAGCATAATTAAGCGGGAGCTTGATTCTGAGGCTAAAAAAGCAGCAAGGCTGAGTGACACGGGTGATCTTAAGCCAAGACCCCCAAATTTCGAGGGTAAGGAGGCCTGCATCCAAGAATTAGGGCTGAATTTTATATTAAGGACGCCTTCTAAAGAGTCTTTGATTGTTGATTCAATTTGGGTGAGAATTTCCGGGTATAGGAAAAGTGGGGCAGAGCGGAAGGCATATTGGATTTTTGGGATAAAGAAAAAGTTCTTGAGAAGGAAGAAAGCTTGATGGGAGGGAAGGACTTGAAGGATTTTATGTAAAAGGTAGAAATTACGGAGAAATTTTGTTTTGAAATGTTCGATTGCTTTATTGCCGCCTATTGGAGATCCAAGATGTGTGAACCCGGATAAATTAATGGGTGTGAAGTTATGAGGAACGATGAAGGTTTCATCTGGTGAATAAAATTCGCATTTGTTGTTATTGAGAGACAACCCTGTAATATTGGGTAGATTATTTATTATAGGCGTTATTTTTAGGAGTTCATCATATGGACCAGCAAGGGTTCCATCATCCAAATACCAAACATTGAGGGTCAAATTTGTCTCACGATTTATTGATTCAATGATCGGCGGATACCTAAGCAAAAAAGGGCGGGTCCAAGGGGATCACCCTGTTGAATGCCTTGCCTTGATTCAATTATTGTATTGTTGAATTTAAGGTAGGATGAATTGTTATAAGAGGCAAAAAGATATGGAGAATATTCTGGAAAAGCGTCACAGAAAATAGGGAGAAAGTGTTCTCGTTTTAAAGAGTTAAAGGCGTTTTTAAAATCCACTTTTAGTATGCAGTTTTTAGTGGAGTGAAGTTGGATACGTGTGGCGTGGGAGGCTGCCTCACAACCGGAAGGTATGTTGAAGCCAAGCTGATGGGGAATTAATCGCTCAGTGAGCTTGCTTTTAATGCGGGTACAAATAATTTTAGATATAATTCGGCGGAAAATAGAGCCAACAGCGATTGGGCGTATGCCGCTATTTTTTTGTTTAAGGCTATTAAGCGTGCACCGTGAATAAGAGGTTGTACTGTAGAAGGTATGTTGTCGTTTAAAATATGATTAAGTAGAGTTGTTATGTTGTTTATAAGTTCAATGCTGGTGGTTGTTGATTTGGTAAGGTCCTGAAGGTATATAGCTCTAAAACCGTCAAGTCCTCCTGAGGAGTCTTTTCTGAAAGAGACTATTGCCTTAGTAACTTCTATGACAGTTAAAGGAGAAGTAGGAATGGATAGAGGTGGTGGTGGTAATTTATTAAAATCTTGGGGATGTATAGATTGTAATAAGAGTATTGTGTCCAAATTGTCAGGGGATATGGTGTCTTCGGACACTGCTAAATTTAAAGCTGCTTTAATATTACATGCGTTAATTTTACGGCTGATAAGTTTAGCCTTTAAATTTGGGGTGTTATGATTATAGTTAGGTCTTGAAGAGCAAAAGGCATTGCTGTTAGAGATTGGGTTGTTTAATTGATACTTAATTTGTTTTGTTAAGTTCATTTTTGTTGATGGAGCCTTCAAGTGGGTAAAACAAAAGTCAAAGAGTTTTTTCCAGTTGTCAGTATTGGTGATATTATTATTTAATATATTATTTTAAAAAAAAATAAAACGCGACCAATTATTCCAAATATTCAATATTTGATAATTTATTCTGCTTCAATTATTCCTAATCAAATTCGTTATTCATTAAATTAATTCTATTACTCGACGATTCTTATTTTATTACGACGTTATTCAATAATACCTACATTCTAAAATCATTCAATATCTTCGCATATATATTTAATAACAAACAATGATAATAATTAACAGAAGGATGACATAGTCAAATCATATGAACAACTAAACCGTTTTTCAAAGATTTGGAGAGAGTGACACAAGATAAGAAAGTTTACGAACAAAAACCAACTAATACTAGATATGACAATACACAGATGATGCCATGAGCAACAAACTTTATGATAATAATTACAATCATCAGTTTAGACAACCATCGTAGATTAGACCATATTATGGCAACCAAAGATTTAACAACCAAAATAACTATCATTTTTCAAGACGAAACTATGACAGACTGCACGATAAGATTCACATGCAAGAAAAACCTGAATGGAGATCATTTTTTTTATAAATTGTGAAAATTGATTTTTTTATATAAATTATTATATTAATATGTAAATTGATTTTTTGTTTGTAACATGCTATATAAGCATTATATTTTTAGTTTTAAAAGAGTTGTTGATAAAAATAAATAAAATTAAATTAAACTCGTAACTTTGAATATTCTTAGAAAACTTTAATAAAAGTTAATTATTTCTACAATATAAAATTTATACTTCAAATTAGTTTCAACAATTAAAATATAAAATCCTTGATTAAAATAATAGTGATTTGATTATAATTTCAAAAAATGACATTATATATAATCTCCATAATCAAAACACGATCGTTTTCGTATATCCCTAATGTATTTAAAATTTACGGAGACTATATAATGTAATGTTAATTTTTTGCTATCTATGAGAGTCGAACACAAACCTCCCTTTCAAAGGCGTATGCTTTACGCATGCACCTACTTGAATATAATTAAATTTAAAATATTAATTATATATATATATATTAATTAATAGCTGATATTTTTAAAATTTTGCCATTTATTACCATAACTAGCTGACGGTGTTGAAGGGTAATTATTTAGTTTGTGTGTTTGGTACTAAATATATTTTATTAATAAATTTTATAAAAATATTAAAATTTAGGAGAAAAAGAGGTAAAATTGTTGCAATACAGTGAGCATTAAGAGTATTAGAAATATCAAAATTTAAATTTGTGATGGTAATCATATCGGATAAAATTTAAAATAGAGATGCTCAAAGATTTTTGAATTTGAAATATGGGTTAGACATTGGCCTGAAAATTTTTTTTTGCAGACATAGATAGACCTGATCAAAAAACCAAGGCTCATGCAACTTTCATATTCTGATTTTATTTTTAAATGAATTATGACTTAAATATATATATATTTTTTTAAAATAATAAATTCATTTTATTATATTAGGAATATCATAGATATATATAAAACTATATCACAATTTTAAAATAATACTTTGAACGTTAAAAGTAAAACATATATACGTAATTTAAAAATATATATTAAAAATATCATTTAAACTATTTGTAAATTAAAAAAACTGTATAATAAAAAATAATAATTAGTATAGTAAATTGTATGTTGGGTGGGATCAAGAAAGAGAGCCGTGGATGGCAATGCAGTTAGATCTGCATATATCAATAGATATGCGCTGTCTGAGATAGATTTCATTTCTTAACTACCAAAACTATTAAGGTCTTTGGCGGGCTTGAGAAAATTTTCTCAACATGATTATGAGCATGAACCTGTTGGGAGTTTTTTTTTGTATTATATATTAGGCATAATATTTATATGGGTCTTAGGTAAAAGCTAATTTAAATATATTTTTACTCAAAAAATAGTATTCACTATTAGTCCTAATGAGTTAGACTTGGTCTGATGTAGGATTGAGCGAGATTAAAAAGAATAAAAAATGAATATGGTTTTTAGAGATTTACTTCTCTCCAGGCTTGATAAAAATTTTTTAAAATTATTATGGGTGGGGCTGGGCTTGGTAAATATTTTTATGAATTATATTGGACTGGGTTTGGGGAAATTTTTTTAAAATTATTATCAGCATGGACGCTTGGGAATTCTATTATCCACTATGGATCAGACATTGACCTAAAACAAATTTTTTTTCAGCCCTGGGGACCTGGCCTGAAGGGGAGAGGGGGTTAAAAAGAATAAAAAGATATTATTTTCAAATAAACAACTATCATAAAAGTAGAGAGAAAAACTAACTAATTATCCTCAACCCCGTCATTCTTGACAGGGTTTTAGCTAGTTTAAAATAAATTCTAAATATGAACCATTTTCTATCTATATATATAATATATAAAATTTAATGATTTTTACTTAGAACAATCTAAAATAAATTGTTAACTGGCTAGTTAGTTATTTTGTATAAAATAAAATAATAAATATTACAATCAAATGTCGTTTTAAATTGGAACCTGAAGATTTTGAAACTGATATAATACATTTTGGGTGTATTTTACATTTAATAAGTATTGAATTAGTTCCTTCAATATAGGATGTTGCTGTAAAATATTTATCTTATTTGTGCTATTAATTCATCTGATTTTGAATTTTCAGAATCAGATGATGATGATGAAATAATAATATCCATACTTATGCTAATCTATTAAATTAAAATGTAAACAATTTATTATAATAATAGCGCATTAAAAAAATATTGAAATGTGAAAAGGGAAAAACAGCTGATTAAAAAATAGAAACATTTTTTCTTAAAAAATTCAGATTAATATTAAATTTTTTAAATAAATAAAAATAAAAAGTGTTAAAATTGAACGAACGTTAAATTGGAAGGCGTTCTTCAAAAAAGGAACACGTTTAAAGATCTTCAAAAAAGAAAGAACTTCGTTCATGAACGCGTGCACAATACAAATAAATGATATAAAAACTCATAAAAGATTTTTCATACAAAAAAATCTTCTGAATTTTGATCAAATGAAAACTTCAAAAAGATTTTGTTCTTTATTTTAAAGAATTCTATTATAAAATGATCATTTAATTATTAAAAACATTTTAAATTAATCTGGATTTTCCGATATAATAACTTTATAAAAATTTTTGGATATTAACTATTTATATATAATTATTAATATTACTACCTATTATCACAATCTTAATATTTTATTTTATTAAATCAATATTAGAATTTCACTTACGAATATGTATTAGAAGTAATTCTTTATTTGATAAGTTCATTATCAGCCATGGGTGAAAATGAGACGATAAATTGTTTATACTTATTTATCCTGACAAATTTTGCTCAAACATGTTCAAGTTTTCAAAACGACACATTTCCTTTTGATATTAAAAGATTTGAAAATATATCAAATATTCAATATATTAGTAATTTAAGAGCTCAACACAGGTTACAATTTATATTTAGTTTATTAAATATCAGGAATGGGGAAATTACTCAATATACTTATTTTTTTATAAACTATTGTCCCAGCCCTCTCATAATAGGGGAACGGATTGAGGCGGAATTTAGCAGACTTTTGATTGACATTTAAATATAATATTTCAATAAAATAATGTAGTTAAGGTTAAAGTCTAAGCCGAAAAAACCTAACTAAAAACCGATATTAAATGAAAAGATTGATACCAAAAATATTACAAAATCATCATAAAGTGTTTACTTGATGTTGTTTTCCGGTCAATGAAATTTGATACGATATATATCTGAATTATTTCGTTTGTCAAGTAGTTATTTATTATATATTAATATGAGAGGATCAGGAAGAAGTTAAAAATAATAAAAATAAGACATATTTAGGAAAATATACTTTGGGCAATTTTCATTCATTCTATATAGATATAGCAAATGATATAGTTCATTTATGAATTATTGCCTTATGACTCGCTGTTTCACTTTCTTTATACCTAGAGATCAAAATTGAGAAAATTATATTTTCTCTAGTTCCCATTTATTATATGTAATATATATTATTTGTAATAGTTATAATATTTTATCAAATATTCTTTATATTAATTAGTAACAATTTTCTATCTCATTTTTTATCAACATTCTATGTTCTTTGTGGTATGAGTTGTCTTATTTTATCGTCACTTATAAATTATAACCTTTGTTTATAACTCTAAATTTGTAACCATTAAATATTGAGTTGGAAATACTCTCAATAAAACAACAAAACTTGTTCCTTGCCAAACTCTTCTCTGCCTTTAGACGTAAATGTCTGTGGCCTGCCACTAACGGATAAGGACTCCTTATCACCTTTTACTTAATATTCAGTTTGATGGAAATAAGGAATACCAAGCATGGCTCTGTTGTATCTACAATGCTATGCGCTTTATTACATATAACATACGTAAATATTGAGAAAACATATTAAAGATAATTATCAAATATTTATTGTTATTTTGAATATAAATACATTCTAAGACTATTTTCAAACCGAACGTTTTTCAAAGCGGTTTTTGAGACATGTTTTCTAGTAATCTTTCTTCCAAATAAAGGATGATAATTTATCGAATTAATTTTTTTATATATTATAATTTAAAAAACAATAATCCGGATACTAATTTCAGACGGTATTTAATCGTATTATAAATAAATTAATTCGATAAATTATTATCCTTTGTTTGGAAGTTATAAAGATTACTGGAAAACATGCTGCTGCTTTGAAAAAATGTCCTGTTTGAAAAGTGACCTAAGAGAAATGACAGTATAAGATGTGATAAGGTAAATATTCAAATGAATTACTTAAATATGACGGGTGAATCAGATATTTCTCCTTCGTTTGATGATGGATAAATCAAAAATTTAAATATTTTATATCTATTACTATTATATATTACCACATTATGAAAAGATGATAGATATTATGACTGCCAAATGCTTCGGATTAGTTGGGACATCCCCCTTGAGACATTTTTACATTGTCCATACATGAAAGCAAAAATGCACTTTGTTCCGAGTTAAAAAAAATTTTCCAATAATTCCGGCTTTATTTACACAGAAACTATGTGGCTTATTAACATCCAATTAATTACTCACATTATCTCAACACCAGAACTCCCGTTAGTGAGCATTGCCATTGTCCACTGCGTGGAATTGGGAGATGGATTTTAGGGGAGCAAAGAGAGGGAAAATAAGAAGAAATATAAAAAATGAAACAAAGATATGAGAGAATTCTAAAAGAATATAAGCTTTTATTACGACTTGACAATCATAAATTTTCAACACACGCATTTTTAGCCATATTGGAACATCTCTATTATTACCAAATCACTTAGACCTGAATTTCTCTTCTTTGAATGTCAAAATTAGTATATACATAAAATTTTATCTTTGTAAAATATTTTCTCAGGAATATTTCTATTGTATTTCATTTCTTTATTTTCCAACAATGTTAAGAGGAATAATAAAGCAATATGACCTAGCTCATGTTGATGTAGTAATCCTATATGATGATGCAGCAATTTAATAATATCTAAAAAATTTGTTTTTATACACCGAATAAAATTTTTTATCCCCTTCATTTTTTTACCTTTTTATTTTTGCATATATATTTGATGAATTTTTATATTTCATAGAAGTTAAAATCTAGAAAGCTTAGTGTTTTTAATTTAACCACTCTCCAAGAGTATAAATAGTTGTTTATTTTGTTTCAACAACATATATTTTGGTTTAGGCCTTGTATCTAAAAAACTGGGCCATGCCGGAAAACTTTAGTAAAAAGTTGAAACCGGGCCAGGTCGGGCCTTAACTAAATTCTCACCGGATCGGCCAGAGAAATTAGCCATTTGCTGACAACTGATTCATTTTATGATACAATTATTTGTTCTTATTAAAGGTTGTAGGTTCAATATGACCCGACCCCTTTCCCATTTGGTTGCCCGATTGTCAAACAATCGGGCCTACACTTTTTGTCCCACGGCAAATCGTACCCCTAATTTTACTTCCATTGAGGTAATAATCTTCTTTGGTTTTAAGAAATCCAAAGGACCCCGTGTTCGCCTACCTAAAAATAACTCAACAGGCGTAATCCCCTCTCGATTGCGAGAATTGAGGTAGTATAATTGAGACATGTAAGCCTCCTCTTTATGGGTTCCAGCCTTTTTAATCCAATTTTTAACAATGCCTACCATCCTCTCAGCTTGTCCATTCGAGCTGGGATGATATGGTGGAGCTAGAATGTGTTTTGTGACTCAACACAAAACTGTTTAAAATCTTCACTGACAAAGGCGGGACCCCCGTCAGACACTATCGTGTCGGGAAAACCGAACCGAGCATATAATTCTCTTAATTTTTTAACAACAATTTTTGTGGTATAGTACTTCGGCATATTCTATCCATTTAGAATACGAGTCTACCACTAAAAAATATGTTTTTTTATCAAGATCAAAGAAATCGATGTGGACACGTTCCCAAGGTTTCCTTGATTTAGGCCAAAATTGCCCTACCTCTATACGGGGCATAGGGGCACAGGCATTACAAGGAACGCATTTCCTGGTAATTCGTTCAATAACCTTGCCCATACCAGGCCACCATACATATTCTCGAGCTCAAGATTTCATCTTGTCTCGACCTTGATGACCGGCGTGCAATAATTTCATAATTTTACTCCGTAATTTATAAGGAATTACGGCCCTGTTTCCCCTCATAACACAATCATCAACAATATTATCCTTTCGGAATAGGTGGATTAACGGCTTGTGGTCAGTAAAAATTTCAAATTTTTTACCAATTAAATATTCACGGCATTTCGTCAAACCGAAAATCACGGCCAAAGCCTCCTGTTCAATCACCAAATATCTCGTTATCCCGAAAAACTCGGGAAAAAAAGGATGGGTCTTTCCACACCCTCAATTACATGTAATAAGGCTCCTCCAACACCTTTGTTGGAGGCATCAACAGCTAAAATAATTTCTAAATCATTGTTGAAACAGACTAAAATTGGCTCTTCCCCAATTTTTCCTTTTAAAACTTCAAATGATTCTTGTTGCTCTACTTTCCAATCGAAATGAACACCTTTTTTTAATAACTCATATAACGGGGCAGCTACCTTCGCAAAATCCTCTATAAAACAATGATAGTAATTTACCATACCCAAAAAGGACTGCACTTCAGCCTTATTATTGGGCTGATTCAAATTTAATATATTTTTCAAATTTTTTTGCAATGGCTTCACCTCAATCCCATTTATTTGATGGCCTAAATATTCGACCTCCATTACGCCCAAAATGCTTTTTTCTTTACTGGCTCTCAAGCCTTTACCATGAATTCTTTTAAAAACTTCCTCCAAACGATGGTTATGCTGCTCAGGCGTCATCCCTGTAATTAGCACATCATCCATGTAATAAAATACACCCTTTAGTCCTTGGAAAACGGACGCCATGGTGCGCTGAAAAATAGGCGCTGACACACTCAACCCAAATGGTAATCTACAAAAAGCGAACAACCCTTTGGGAGTCGTGATCGTCAATAATTTACGAATCTCCTCCCACAAAGGTAATTGTAAATAGGCTGACGAAAAATCAACCTTTGAAAAATATTTCGCTCCCTTCAACTGGGCCAAAATTTCCTCAATTCGGGGTAAAAGATATTTAACTTCTGCTACCCATCGATTAACGGTTACTCTGAAATGAGCACAGAGTCTCAATTTACCATTTGATTTCTTAACCGGTACCAACGGGGTTGCCCATACACTATATTCCACTGGAACAATAATGCCATCTTTAACCCACTGATCCAATTCTGCGTCAATTTCCTTTTTCCATTCAAAAGGAACTCGTCGACACGCTAGGAAAATAGGTGAAAATCCCTCCCTTAATTTTATATCTACTTGATAATCATTAAGACAACCTAATTTGTCTTCGAAAATTATTTCATACTTCCTCATTAAACGAGATATATTTTCACTCATTTTATGTAAATCATGAATACCAATAGCAACCATTGGGTTTTTATTAATGCTGGCATTGTTTTCAATCATAAGTTCCGTGGAATTTACATATTTATTGGAACTACGGGTTGAATTATCTGGTTTTACGGTGAAATCTACCCCTTCTATTTCATGAATCTTTTTCCGAGCAATATTTTTAGGTTTAGTCTCGTCTCGGACTGAACCATTATGTATTGCAAAAATATTCCAATAATTATTGAAAGGACCCAACTGAACAGGCCTAAAGGTAAACTTGAAAAAGAATCTATGTGTGTCAGACAATTTGATGGGTCTGAAATAATAGTTTTGGGAAAAACTAAGTTGGGAGTAAGTCTCCATGATTTTTTCTAGATTTATGGGTAGTAAAGAAAGATGTGGAAACCATCATGGGTAATTTCTTCGAGACATTATAGAAATGCTAGTCCCTGTGTCGAACAACATGTCAATATCCCTCGAGTCA